AAGGCACAGTATGGGAAATGGAGTAGACAGAGAACTTATATGCATGATCCATGGACATGAACAAGTGTATGGGGATTGCCTGAGGGAGTAGGGTGTGTTGGGTGGATGGTGGCAAAGGGGGAATAATTGGGACAACTGTAATAGCATAATAAATAAAATGTAATTTTTTATAAAAAGATTTTTCAGATAATGAAAGATGAAACAATTTTTCACCATTATACCTACCACATCACCAAAAAAGCATAAGCACATTTCAGGCTGAAAGGAATAATACCAGATAGAAATTCAGACCTACTTATAGGAATGAAATGTTAAATGTGTATAAAAATATCTAAGAGATTCTTTTAAGATAAACCTTAGAAAGACATTCTATAAACTTGTGAAACACTGAAGGGAGATAAAAGCCTACAAATTATGCCTCCAGAAAATTAATGAAGTATAAAGTATACAATTAACTACCATTAATATACAAGCTAATTTTTACTGAGAATTAAAGAGTGCTATAATATAGGATGAAATATTTTTAACTTTTAATCTAAATAATAGTTGTGATGTCTCCTTCTTTCTTTTCTTTTTGCTGCATAAAGTCTTGTTTCCATTTGGTTCACAGCATGGGAGAGGGCCCCAGGGCGGATAAAAGGCAGCACAGTGGTTGCGGGGAGAGGCTCAAGCAGAAGCCAGACACCAGTGGGGTCCAGAGAGGCCCCTCAAAGGCTTCTGGGCTCCAATGGCTCCTACTAGTGCTTGAGCCCCCCGAGATATTCATCCAGCCTGACAGCCAACCAGCCTGCAGAAGTGAGTCCTAATCGAAGAAGTGGTTCTCCAGGATATCATAGAGATGAGGGTCTGTATGGGTAGAACCCAGGGAATGCAGATGCAAAAGGGCCTGGTTCAGGTTCTTCTCCAGGACCATAGTGGCTTCCATGGTGTCCTGAGTTTTACCCCACTTATCTTGGGAAGGCTTCTGCACATCTAGGAAGAAGGCACAGCCACCATGCTGGTTTTGCATCTTCAAGAGACACTAGGCGTCTGTGCACTTCTCCTTCACCAACTGGTGGAAGAAGTGGCCCATGCTCTCCAGAACCACATCATTGCAGTCCAAATAGAAGCCCAGAGAGATGTAGGTATACAAGACCTGCCGGTGCAGGTCGACCACTCAGTTGATGGTGGTCCCCACCTCGGTGGAATAATTCTGATGAATTTGGGAGCCCATGGTTGCTCAGCAATAAGGACTAAGCTCAAAAACAGTGCTGGCTGAACTTGGAGGCTGAGGATGACTGAGGTGATGACTGGAAAATAGTTTGGAGGATAATCAAAGGCTGGAAGAAGGGGTGGGGCATTCCTAGATGTGTCCCATCCAAACACTGTTGAAGCAAGAGACACATGCAGGATACCACCGAGGGCACTGCAAGAGGATAATTTATACTTCTAAATTCACCATAGGTCAATACTATTTTTTTGCAAAAACAAACAGATGAATATGTCACCTAACTTTCAAATAACTTATTTATTCAGAGAACATTTCTTGTTGGCTGGTTATATAACTTCTAAGAAATCTAGAGCAATATGTATGTGTGTGTGTATGTATTTCTTCTTATAAGCATAAAACACAGTCAAAATATTTTTGTCATCTGCAAAATGTCTAGTAATAGCTGTTTTATAACACCTTTTTATACAAATGTTCTGAAGTACAACTGGCAAACTGAACACATGAATAAGTCCATCTTCACATCCTACTAAAACCCTACTAAAAAGAAATTTTGAGGAGGAAAAAAAAAAGACTGACATACACAGGAATAATAATAATGAAAAGGGCAATATCAACCCAATGTTAGAAAACAAGAAGCAAATGGATGCATAAACAGTAACTAATTGGGTACAGGAAACAAACCCCAATGCCTAGTAGCTAAGATAATCACTAAGCAAACTAATCTCTTCAAAGTAAACTAATCTCTTCTTCCAAAGCAAACAAATTCCTGACAAAAATAAATAAATAAACATCAGAAGAGCTCCAAACAGAAAGTACTTTTTATCTCTGAAGGTCAGGCTGAAACTAAAAATGGCAAAACTGGCAGAAAATGTCAATAAGGAAAATGTAGATGCTTAAACCCCTTTCTCATGCTTGCAGAAAATAGGAGGTTAACTCTGGAGAGGCTGGACCAGACTGGCTCCAAATTAGTGGACATCAAATGCAGCTTGGGGGCAGATACCAGGGACTCCACTAGAATTGAATTTAACATAGAAGTCTGAAAAAGGAAAGGAGAGACCTCCAGCCCCTTCCATTGTTCTGTACCAGAATACTGGCTATTGCCCTGCCAGAGCTGATATTTCTTTCTAATCCAAAAGAAAAACATGTAAACATCTGGTTGTGTTGGGTGAACATTTGGGAGATCCCCCAACAAAACAGCCTGATCACCACAACCCTGGAGGTTACCCAGACCTGTCCTCCACACAAAGCCTCCAAAAGGCTTTTAAGTGCACACTCATGAGCATGAAAATAGCAGAAGGTCACTAGATGGTTGAGGAAATTGGCTAACATGTATTAGGGTCTGAAACAAACCAAAAATAAGGCAGGGGGAAGAGAAACAGCAAGATAAGATTAAACAAAATTTAAACCATAATGTCTTAAGAGATAAGCCAAAATGCATATTAAGTTCATGAAGCAAGAACAGGACCCTATTTTTAAAAGTATTAATCACAGATGAATCTCTAGAAAACTATGAAACCAAAATTATAAATTCATCAGAATTAGAAGGCTTAGAAAATAAAATGTCCAAGACAGTAGGACAAAAGACAAAGTTTTAAAAGGAGAAAAAGGTAATTTTTGAAAAAGAAACAAGGTATTGGAGCACAATCCAACATTTAATTCATAGAAATTAGAAAAATAAAATTGAGGAAAATAGAAGAGATTAGTACACTTTTTAAAAATTGCTCCAAAACTGAAGCACATGAATTTCCAGATTGTAAGTGCAAAATGAGTACCCAGAAAAATGAATAAAAAAGACCCATTCCAAGAGATAGTGATAGTAAGAACATGGAAATTAAGAACTTATTTCCAAATAGAAAAAAATACACCACAAAAAAACTGAGAATCAAAATGCCAAAGGATTGCTTAATAGCAAGGCTAGAAATTAAAAAATAAGAACAAGTTCTTCAAAAACCTTAGGAAAAATAACTTCCAGTCTTGCATATACCAAATGAGGAAGTAAAATAAGAACAAAAAACCAAGATCAAGAAACAGAAAATGTGATTTTAGGGAGAGGAAAAGGGAATCCAAAATGATAGTGAGGTGAAGACCAGCGATGACAGTTATGCAGCAGGCCTAGTGAGCACCCAGGTTAGATTTGAAGATACCAGGTGGGGTGTCTCCAAGAAAAACAAAATGGAACTAGTGGATGACCTAATTTGTTTGCTTGATATACAAACTCTGCAATAAGTTCCACTGGGAAGATTTTAAGGCAGAACGGGTGATGGGGACTATAAGATTTAAAGCTCTCAAACTCCCTGTTTTCTGGCCACACACACATTTCTCTTCCCTCCAGCCTCCCTATATTAATCTTACAGCTACATAAATAGCCATTTTACATATAATATTATTAAGAACTGATCACTAGTAAATACTTGCTATGATATATAATCATTTCTTTTTTATACTCCTTGGTTTCCTTAGAATTAATGATTTCTCACTTTTTCATTTGATTATTTAAATTCATATATCACACTGATAAAGAACAAAATTTTAAAAACAAGTAGTAGTATATGTTTTAAATATTTGTATTTTTATCCACAAATATGTAGCTATGGTTGATTTTAAGTAAACACATAAAACACACACACATATACACATTTGCAACTTCATTATTCACTGTTTTCAGTCATTAAATTTAATCACTATCAGACAGTAGTCTTGACATCAATTACTAATTACTTAAGAACATACAAATACATGATAATTTATTTACTTACATTCCTCTGTGTTGGACATATTTTCAAATTGTTTTATATTCTTAATAAGCTCATGGAGCACCTTTCTGTATAAATCTTTGTATCTCTAATGACAAGTTTATAGAAACAGAGTAAGTTTAAGGCTTTTGATCTATACTACTTAGCTATCCTGCAAAATGTCTGCCAATTTACATTTGTACTTACAATATATGATGTTCAGTTTACCACAAACCTACCAGCAATAATATATTTTTAACTCACAAATTAAGAAAGAACAAATTTAAGATTACTCATTTTAAATATTTTTTTTATTTATTGACTTGAGAGAGAGAGAGAGAGACATCACTTTGTTATTCCACTTATTTATGCATTCATTGGTTGCTTCTTGTATGTGCCCTGACTGGGGATCAAACCTGCAACATTGGCATATTGGGACAACGCTTTAAAACCAACTGAGCTACCCAGCCAGGGCAACATGTACTCATTTTAATATAAATTTCCATATTACCTATTCATGACTTTTGACTATTTTTTATTGGGGTATTACATGTATTTATGTGGTTTTTAATTTAGTAAACCTTCTCATAAATTAAAAATATGCATCCTTTTGTTATATTGATGATGAGTGTTTTTTAAGTCTTAACTCTCATAGAGTCACTTTTCTTTTTCCTTCTCTTACACTTATACATAGAAAGGCCTTCCTCAGCTCAGGAACAGTTAAATAATGATCTATGTTTTCTTCTCTCTCTCTCTCTCTCTCTCTCTCTCTCTCTCTCTGTAAGGGTGTGGTATTATGGTTTTTATTATTAGCAATTAAAGTAGCCTAAAAGGAATTCTTCAGCACTACTTCTATAAAAGCATTAGACAGCAATGTAGGGACTTCAGGAATACAAATGTGGCTTAAAAGCAAATAACTTCCTATGTGTCTTCTAACTAGAAATATTTCAACATATAAGTTTTCTTCCTTTAATATCAGTACGATATAGGTCAAAAGCAATGTAACACTCTCAGGTATATATGCTAATATAGCTTAATTCTGAAAAGTTTTTACTCACTTGTGGTCATGATGTTAGGAGGACAAGAGGGTATTCCATGGTCTACTGCCCATCTGTAGGCTCCTTCTCCAACTAAAAAGCTAACAACAAAAAAATTACTCTTTTAAAAATTCCCAGTTTCATCTTCTCCTACATATTCAATAAAGTAATAAAGGCAACTGAAAAAAAAAAGTTGAGCATATAAGCATAATTCTAGATTTACTTCAAAATAATAATATGGCTCAAAATATTCTTTAAAATTTTTCCTGGTAAAAATTTTTCAGTTAGAAATACTACCATTCACTTGCAGTAACTAATAAGTAAAATCCAACACCACAAGTAAAAAAGTTGATTTCCCAATGGAAAATATTAACATATATCTTGGATCAACATAGTTCTCAGTACACGTCACCAGATCTACTTAGTCTTGTTTAGAGTCAAAGTTTAAGTGAGTCTTCAGATATAGTATTCTTGCCTAGTCTAATTGTTGACGGGTGAGACCTGGTTTTTCTTGCTGACGCATGTAAAGAATTACATATCAGCAAATCTAGTAGTATGTAATCAGTTTATTAGTGGCTCACGTCCATGTTAGAGAACAGGACCAAGTAGAGTAGGGGGTGACAGGGAAAGTTTTAGAGCAAAGCAAGGTGAGCAAGAGTAGCTGAAGACCAGGGTGGCAAGCCCCTGGACAGCCTAAGGCCGGGTGGCCAGAGACCCTGTGGCTCGAGAAGCCACGAGCCCCCTGAGCCCCCGAGAGAGAGTGAGAGAGAGCGAGAGAGAGAGAGAGAGAGACCTTTGTTCTCCAGACTTATATAGTTGGTGGGATAGGAGGGAAAAAAGTCACATATTGATTAATGGGTAAATGTGGCGCCAGCTTTCCTCGGGGTTTGCTAGCCCAAATTCTTATATTGCTCCAGACCCCATTTGGTCATCCTAATTGGTAAAAGGTGTTTCCTGGCAACCAGAGTGATAAATGCTGGCCAATGACAGTATTGCAGTCTCAGAGTTCTTCCTATGCTGTCTCCTGCTCCATAATGCCTGTCATAACTCAAAATGAGATACCCCCAAAACAAAAAGATGTGCTTATACTTCTAACCCTTGGTACTCAAAAATATATACCTGACCCTCCGAATCATTTTTACTGTAATAAATAAAGTACTGTCATGATCCAATAGTAATTTTTAAGGCCCAAACTGCACATAACAAATAAAATAATACTATTAGCTAACTAAAAGACTTATTTTCAAAGGTTTCAAATATCATGCAGGATAATTAACCACCCCACTTCCTAACACATAATAGTAAGCAGTTACCATTATAATCAGTCACTTCATCTCCTTTCATAGCCAACCTCTTAAAGATCTCAGCCAGCTAGTAATGGATTCCTTGAACAAGTGCCTATTCATTAGTTTCCTGTTCCCTATTTTTTGTTTCTGTTTTTCTAATCATTCCAATACTAAAAACTCAAAGCAATACATACTGAAGTCTTTAGATTTGATTATTAATAAGAAAATTAGTGACAGACTGGCAAAAAAAATTTAAGTAGACACTTAGAAACATATCAAATGGTTCCAATGAAACACTAAATGGTTAAGCCCAATAACTGTTTTCCATTGTACATAAAGGTAAGGATGGAGGGGACACTGAAAAAAGGAGGGGAGGGAAGGCCAACAAGAATAAACAACTTTACCTCTTCAAACTTCATTTTCAAAAAATTCTAAGGGATTCTGAAAATAAAATACAGTTTTTCCTCTTCTTGTATCAAACGAAGAACACTACAAAGAAACTGCAAAGACAAGCAGCCACACAAAATTCAAGTGGAAGAATAACTGAAATAGAAACTTAGATAATGAGTTGAACTGCCTTGATGGCATTTTTAGCAGTTCCTTCTTATAAAGAAAGAATTTGATATAAGAAATACTTCTCTTCATGGAAAGATGTAAAAGAGATGCTAAGTAATAAATTAAAGATGAGGACAGAAGTTTGGAGCTGAATCTGGTGTTCTCAGCCATTGATAATTCTGGGTTTAATCCTAATACCTGAAATCAATGGCATATTACAAAATACTCTTAGCTTTATTTTTCATTTCTTAATCATTCATACGTTTGATTCTAAATAAAATCAATTTGACATTGTCTACTATGCAAGCATTAAATACCTTAGGTATTTCACAATATTCACAGAAACCTGAATATATGGACACCATCTTATGAATAAGAATGCTAAATATCAGCCCTGACTAATGTGGCTCAGTGGACTCAGCATGAGCCTGCAAACTGAAAGGTCACTTTTTCAATTCCCAGCCTTGGTTTCGGGCCAGGTCCCCAGTTGAAGGAGTGCAGCTTATCAATATATCTCTCCCACATTGATGTTTCTCTCCTTTTCTTCCTCCCTTTCCCCTCTCTCTCAAAGTAAATAAATAAAATTTTTAAAAATACTAAATATTAGACCTTCAATTACTATAAAAATTAATTGTATCTTAGCTCATCATCACACAAAATGTAGTAACTGCTCTTGAAATCATTTTAAGATGCTATAAAGCTACATAAACTTTTGCAAGAAACTATACTGAGATCCAGTGTGATGGTAGAGAGATGGTAGGTGGAAGCTACACTAAACTCCTCCCAGGACCAAACTGGAATTACAACTAAATTATAGAAAAATCATGCTGAATAAACAACTGAACACTAGCTGGAGAGAAGCCTTATAACCAAAGACTTACAGAAGAAAGTACATCACTACATCAAGACTGGTAGGAAGCATAGAGGCAGAAGAGGGCTAGCTGGGCTCACACAGGCAGCAGCTGAAGTTCCAGAGGGATATTTTCAGTGGCCAGGGGTGCATTCTGCTGAAAAGTGTGAGTTCTAAACACCAAGCTGGGCCCCCCACCCTAGAGCACCAGCACCAGGGAAGAAATCCAAATAATATCTGGCTGTGAAAAGGACTGAGGTTTCTGTCTGCCAGCAAGAGATGGCTAGAACGCTGAGAGCCTCTTAAAGGGCCAATACACAAAATTTTGTTTCCAGCCACTTACCCTGAGCTCTAACAGAGGGAGGGTGGAGCAGATTAGTGCCAATGAAGAGGATATTGGGTTAGTGGCTCTAGGGAGAAAGCTGAAAGGTGAACAGTAAGGATCTCTGTGTTCAGTCATTCCCCATACTGCAGAAGCTCTCTTTCTTGGGTACAGCATCCACCTCCATGAGACAAGAGCCCCACTCATAGGAATCCCTCTCAACCCACCCTGTGGAGCTTTAGCCAGGCTGCTGAGAAGTAGAGCTGGAGGCACTTTCAGTGATGAAGCCTAACAGAAAGGTTGCAGGTGGAAGAGAATCTCTGGGAGCATTAAGACTTTAGCTGATCCTCCCCAGGGCCAGGTGCTGGTAAGAGCCAGTTGTGGTGGCCAGCTTGGTTCTTTCTGTACACACCAATGGATCAACATGCCCTGGACTGCTGATAGCTACAAAAGAGGTTATCCAGGACTAGTCACAGGCAATGTCATACATACAATGTGGGAAAGTCTTTGCAGACCTAACTAATACATAGAAACAAACACAAAGAGACAGCCAAAATGGTAGATAATGGAACAGCCCCCAAATGAATGGAAATTTCTCCTGAAAGAGGACTAAATGAAATGAAGGCAAGCCATTTATCAGATATAGAGTTTAAAGTAATGATTATAAGGATGTTCAACAGCACTAAAAAAGAGATAGAAACCATAAAAAGGGACCAGTCCCTTTTTGCATAAAGAATGCAACCTCTGAAATAAATGGAAGGAATAAAGCAGGTAAGGTGAAGCAGAGGATAAAATTAGTGATTTGGAAGGCAAGGTAGGAAAAAAACACCTGAGCAAAGCAGGAAAAAAACAATTTAAAAAAATTTAAAAAGAAACATTTAGGACAACTGAAGCACAACAACTACATCACAAGGACTACCAACTGATTCCAGCCCTCCATCTTGTTTTATCCAGCCCGGCAGCTCCTTGTCCCTAGCTAAGGAGTAGTTTACATTTACACAGTCCTAAAATTACAATCGGCCCTTTGAAGGCAACCAAGAGGCTGATGTGGCCCCCAGTGAAAATGAGTTTGACAACACTGATCTACTTAATGGGAATACCAGAAGGAGAACAGAGTGAGCAACAGATCAAGAACCTATTTTAAGCAATAACGACTGATAAGTTTTCTAACCTAGTTAAAGAAAAAGGCACACAAATCCAGGAATTGCACAGTTCCAAACAAGATGAACCCAAAGAGGCCCACACCAAGATACATTATAATTAAAATGGCAAAGATTAAAGACAAGGAGAAAAATCTTGACGGATGCTCATGTGCGCGCGCGCACACACACACACACACACACACACACACACACACACTTAGTTATCTACAAGGGAGCTCCAACAAGACTGCATCTGATTTCTGAACAGAAACTTTTTAGGCCAGAATGAATCGGCATAAAATTGTCAAGGTGATGAAAAGTAAGGATCTACAACCAAGGCTACTTTGCCTAGCAAGGCTAGCACTTAAAATTGAAGGACAGGCTTCCCGCCAAGATGGAGGTGTAGGTAGACACACTGTGTCTCCTCGCACAACCAAAAGAAGGACAACAACAATTTAAAAAAAAAAAAAAACAGAACTGACAGAAAATTGAACTGCATGGAAGTCCAACAACCAAGGAGTTAAAGAAGACACATTTATCCAGACAAGTAGGAGGGGTGGACCCAGGCATGCAGGGCACCTACTGTGGAGCTGGCAAGGCAGTGGATTGTGAAACAGGCTGTGGCACACAAGGTGGCTGGTAGACCTAGCGGTCCCACATTCGCAGGCAGATAAACCAGGCAAAACTGGGTAGTGGGACAGACCCCTCAACCCAGGGTCCCAGAGAGGGGACGTAAAGCCTCAAACTACTGATTGAACATACCTGTGGGGGCTAAGGTGCTGGGAGAAACTCCCAGACTCACAGGAGAGTTCGCTGGAAAGACCCACAGGGTCCTAGAACACACACAAGCCAACCTACATGGGAATCACACCAAAAGTGCACAATTTGCTTGTGGGAAGCAGGGGAAGTGAATGAAATCAGGCAAAGAACAGAGCAAGTGCCATTG